GCAAGTGATCAACTATATCAATTTTCCGTACTAGGCCATTAACATTTTGATGAAAGATCTTCAGGCCTCTAGCTTGGAGAAACGTTTTTACATCATCACAGAGTGTATTAAGGATACTAGGCTCGCTGGTTCGGCTTTCATTTATGTTCACACACACTGGACAATATAACTTCTCGTGGCCATATTCAGCCACGTCTACTAGGCACTTTAGGTGGCGTTTACTTTTGCAATGACAGCACGTTTCTGAGCTTTGGTTTTTTCGTATCGTCTTGTTACAATTAAAGCATTTTACACTTGGACCAGGGCAGAGTTCAACGTCTCCAGCCAAATTCAACAATAGGCTTAAGCCAGAATATGACTTTTGGCCTAAGTGAATACCTCTTCCTTGCTTATAAACCCACAGCGAAGTCGTAATGCGAGAGTTACATGCATCCGTAACTTCTCCACCATCAAACGAATAACAAACTGAATTTGAACTGGCAAAAGATTGCTTCTTAACATTTGATAAAGCAAAAATCAGGAGAGCGATGTTTATTGCAGCCGCCATGTTTGACCGAAGTGTATAAAGCAATATATATCGGATAAATATAAATCGGATAAATATTCGGTCCTGATTTACATAAACTTTAGCTTTGATTTTTGTGCCTTAGACAATGTTTATTTTTAAAAATACTTCGTCAATGAATTCATAAGATTGGTCGTTATTTAAGCATTTCTATATGAGATAAAGATCGACTGCTCATGTTTTAACTAGTACCTAATAGGCCCAGTAAACGGTAACTATCAAATGGCATACAAATAATTTACACATTGCATATATGCCTGACAATTATACATCCAACGGACAATTCAAATGTCCATTGGACATGCATATGCGTATTCCATTGGATCCAATAGACAACTCTAATGTCCACTGGACATATCTATGTCCATTGGATCCAATGGACAACTGAAATGTCCATTGCACATACGCCTGTCCAATGGATCCATTGGATCCAATGAACCATTGGACATACTCCCTTTGCCATCTCACAGGCCTGTTTACCTGCATGGGGTCGATGCCCATATATGACGTCTTTCGAAATAACTTATTTACTGCCAAACCAAATGTCCAGTTGACGTATTCAAAGCCATTGGATCCAATGGACAAATCAAATGTTCAGTGGATATCTCTATTTCCATTGGATCCAATGGACAACTGAAATGTGCAATGGACATATGCATGTCCAATGGATCCATTGGATCCAATGGACCATTGGACATACTCCCTTTGCTATCTCATTGGCCTGCTACCTGCATGGTGTCTATGCCAACATATGACGTCATTCGAGATAACGTGCTTAATGCACAACTAAATGTCCAGTGGGCTTATGCATGTCCATTGGATCCAATGGACAAATCAAATGTCCAGTGGACATTTTAATATGTCCATTGGACATCTTGCAGAGGTATTGGACATTAATCCTTGGTGAAGTGATCGGACATAACCAAGATGTACTGGTTACCCCGTGCAGTCATACGAAGTGGACCTAATACGTCCATAGCCCACAGTTCCATCGGTTGTCCAATTACTATGCTCTGCATGGGTGCCTTTTGAGATGAGACGGGTGTTTTTCGTCTGTTGCATTTTTCGCACTTTCGCCTTCTGCTGCCATTCCCGGCCAATGATAGCGTTGTTGCAGACGTTCTATGCAGCGGTTTATTCTCATGTTTCGCGAACATGGGTCATCATGAGAAAGTTTTAATAGGTCGGCACGCATCTTTCGAGGGACAACCAAAACTAGTCGCTTCGATGAAGTCCCTTTATCTACACAACGGTGTAGAAGCCATCTACCATTTCTAGTTGTGAACACAACTGTCTGCAGCGTCGCCTTTCTCCAATCTCCTTAGAATTATCATGATCATTTCTTTCCTCTGGTAGATCATCGCTGCAGCTTAACTTCTGCATTATTCCGGAAAATCTTGGGTCGTCCTGTTGTGCCTTTATGATTTCTGCCTTGGACCACGACGTGCACACCTCGGTACCGTTTACAGCGACCATCAAGTCCTCATCTTCGCTTTGGTCTGGTATTCGAAGGTGTCACTCGAGCGAAACGCGATAGGGTATCTGCGTTGCTGTGTTGTCGACCCGGGCGATGCCTGATTTCGAAATCGTACTCCTGTAAGGCAAGGATCCACCTGGCGAGACGATCCTTCGGTTCTTTCAATCCTTGCAACCACGTTAAACTTTGATGGTCTGTCACTATGTCAAAGGTTTTTCCGAGTAAATATGGCCGCCAATAATTGACTGTCCAGGCAATGGCTAGACACTTTTTCTCCGTGGTCGAGTAATTTCTCTCTGCAGGCGTGAAGGTCCAGCTGTCATACGCGATCACATACTCGTTTTCACCTCTTCGCTGGGACAAGACAGCGCCCAGGCCGAAATCTCTGGCATCCGTATAAATTGTGAAAGGAACGGAGAAGTCTGGTAGGGACAAGATAGGTGCTGAACACAGACGACTTTTCAGGTCATTGAATGCTTCGTCGGCCACAGGTGTCCAACAAAATTCTGGTTGGCCACCCTTGGGTAGGTCGTGGAGGGGTGCAGCGATGTCCGCAAAGTTCTTAATAAACCGTAATGACACTATCATGGCGGATGGTCGTGCTAAGGTTAGCTCCATAGATATTCCCAATACTAAATTTAATGTTGGAAATGTGAATTTGGACGATATTCGAACGTATAAAAACAACAACACTCTTGTCTATGATGGGAAACGTTTAAAGTGGAACGGCAACTAT